ATAGTTCTGGCATGTGCCTCCTGTTTGGCGACCCCGCTCCCATCTCTGTGTGGAGTGAGAGACTAATGCCCAAAAATAACAATTGTAAACCGCTTTGTGACTCTGGTCTGTGAAAGGCGGTATATAAATAAAGATTACTTACTTACTCCACAGAGTCTTATCTTATCTTACAGAACAGAAACAATAGGCTTTATTATGAAAAATAAAATGCCCCAATATCTCCTTATCATCAATGCTGCAAGTTACTGCGATAAAGATAATTGAAAAACATTTCTGGGGCCACTAAAAAAGTGTCTCGCTTGACCCATACAGTAGAACACAAGTAAGATACTGTGAAACAAAGATCACATATTGAACACAGTAAATACTTGTGTAAAGTGGCAATACTCGCACGCAAAAGCCAGATCCCGTCATACCTCTGAAGCCTGTTAGTCCTGTGATGGGCAACCCCTGATGCCACAGTGGGGCAACTGCCAAACTGTTGTTGTGTCCTTAGACAAGACACTTCACCCACAGAGTCTGGTGTGTGTGTGTGTGAATGTCTGGTGGCGGTCAGAGGGGCCAATGGCACAAACTGGTTGCCTCGCTTATGTTAGTGTGCCCCAAGGCATCTGTGGCTACAATAGAAGTTTATCACCCCTGTACATGTAATGAAAGAATAATGACATGTGAAGCGTCTTTGAGTTCTGAAAAAGTTCTATATAAAACTCATGCGTTGTTATTATGAGTGTTATTATTATCATTAAGATAAGTCAGGAACCTATGACTCTAAAGCCGGATATGACCGCTTTTGATGATTGTGTCTGGCTCTTAGACAAATTTTGGAACAGCATCCATCCAACAGCAGTGTGGTGATATTATTTAATGAAGAAGATAAAATTAATAATAATCCCAAAGTCATTGTGCAGATAACCTGAATGTATTTGAAGCCAAGTCATCCAACAGTGTAGCATAAAATATTAAAATGGACCCAGACATGTGGCCTTATAGTCTGAGACGACGTGACATCTGGACTCAGGCGACAGGGGGCGCCACAGGACAAGTGGCAGGTGCCTTGGCCTTTGCGGATCTGGGTAAAACCAGGAATGAAACAGAAGGACTTTGGCCCTGTCCCAATACTCACTCTTCCACCCTTCGCCCCTCATTTGCGCGTTCCCGATGATGAGTGCGAGTGCGTAGGGTACAGTCCCAATTCTCCAGGGAGGTCTTTGGCCCCGCCCCCTTAGCGCCCCTGATCCACACTTTGCCGTAGCCTGCATCTAAGGCTGCGGTCACATGCGCAACCTAAAGCCCGTTTAAAGTGTGCCAGGGCCCGCTTCGCAGTTTGATCCGGGCTTTAGGTGCCATCTGACCGCAACATTCGCAGCACTCGCGGTTAAAAACTGCGGCCAGGACCCGCTTCCCAGCACTGATGAGGGGGGTCAGTGTGGCGGGTGGTGGGGAGTGGGGGGGTGAGGTGTGGTGGGGATATTGTGCGTCACATTACGTCTTCCTGTGACATGCATTTTCACACACGTCTCTCCGGCTCTTTCGTATTCTCCGCTGTGTTAAACCTTTCATATAAGCCCCGCACCGTGGTCGAGGGACTCTGGGGGCCGTGGTCGAGAGGCGCAGGGGGAGTGTCTCTGCAGGGCCAAAGAAAAGCGTTTCCTACGGGTATAGCTCTCTTCTGCGTTTTCACACCCTGTGGCGACGATCCGGGCCACTTGGCCTAGTTCGTTTGTAAAAACCACTGGGGGAGGGTCCCAGCTCAAAAGTGGCCAAAATGACGTGCACTGACATGCTGCAGTACCACCCCGGGCCTGTGGGGGTGGACCCAGAAGAAGAATTAGCCAATGCTAACATATAGCGTTGACAGATTCCACATGTGTGTCAATGCTGAGGGGGGTGTTTTGGTCCACTCTAGTTTACTTGCTGTGAATTTTTTAAGTCTCTTGTTCAAATGAATGGAGCTCTCGCAGCTGACGCATGCACAGATGCGTTTTTTCACAATTTTCTTGTGGGCGGGACCACTCGTGGCCATTTTGGATTGCTCCAGTAGAGCACATTTTTTGGCCCATTAGTTAGAACGGCGGAGATAGGCGTGACTCTGTCCGTTAATACAGTATATACAGTCTATGGTAAAAACCTTTGTGACCGTGCCCTAAGCGCACTCTGCCGAAGGATATTGCCCACAATTCTTTGCGGTACACACCAAAACGTCGGGAAAATGCATTGAAGTGTAAGTTTTGAAATAAATATGCTGTATGTGTGTGAATAAATGTTGCTTTGTTACTTGGAAAGAAGTATAAATGTCTAATTGAAGAATTACAGACATTCTATGGTAACAATTTAATAACTTTTTCAATCCAAGCATTCATATAAAATTCACTTTAAACTTTACACTTAGTATAATGAACTTAGGATGTATAGAAACATACCAGATAACAGTTAGTTACCCACATTTAAGCTATCTAAAAGAATAACCAATATACATGTATTTTAACCTGTGTGGAGCAACTCATTAATTACTACTTTTGTTTCCCACAGGGTCGGACGAAATGACCTCAAAATATATAAAGTTTAGGTCTGAAAATGACCATCTCTTGACTAGTCGATGACGTCACCTGCACTGTCCCAATTCCGCCTTTTTTTGCATGCTTGTAACCTGTGCACTCAAACCCTTGCGTGCACTTCGCAGAGGAGTGTAGGGTGCAGTGTGGGTATTGAGACAGGGCCTTTGTTGGGACTGGGACCTTTTGGGCGCCTGCTCGCCATAACAGTATGATGTGGACAGATTTGGAAATGCTGGAACCTTTCTATAAAATTCATGCAGCTACATTACCTGTAATGTGAGTAAAGGACATATTCTGATTATAAAACTCAAACAGTAGCATCTAAATGTTGTTTAAAACATGTCCCTTTTGTTTCAGAATGTGCAGTTTAAATGAATGGGGCTTGTGCCGGCTGACGCATGCGCAGATGCGTTTTTTCACATTTTCCCACATTGGCCACATTTTTGGCCCATTAGTTAGAACGGCGGAGATAGGGGTGACCAGGTCCGTTAATACTATAGTCAATGGTTCCAATCGATGTACCAAATGAGAAAACACACTTTGCAATGTTATTACATTTATGCAATTTTACACTATTATATTAAGGAAACTCAACATGAAAGTATTCGTAGCACAATGCCACTAGACCAGTACCGTTGGACCAGTAGCATTGGGCCGAAATACAATACAAACGCATTGGGCAAGACACTTATCTCCACTTTACTGAAGCCCCCGCTGAAAGATCAAGGCTCCTGTGGACTCAGCACCTGCAGGAGGATCAGTGAGGGGCAGGTACTAAGTGAATTGGGTTCACCCACTCGACCCAGAAATGGATTAAGGGGAAGAAAATGGATGGATGGACAATACAAACGCAGTTGTGATGACATCCTGGGACCTTTTCCCACATGGTCCGGGAGCGCTCGGTGCCTGGTGCCCAGCTCTTCCCTTGTCCGTAGTCCTCAATCTATCCGTATCGGATAGATTGAGGACTTCAATTCTTCTAATTGCTCCATTTGGATCATGGAAAGGTTTGCAGAATTGAAAAAAAAATTACTATAGAAACAATTACTACTACGCATTTTCATGAAATAAATAAAATAACCTATACCTCTTGTCTCCGTGTGTGTCGTCTGGTGCACACTGGGGTAGTCTTGCACAGTTTTTCCAATGTGGTTTTACTGCAAATGGCAAATAAATGAATCTGAATCTGAATCTCTGACAATGAGCATTGTTGACGTTGTATATTTGGAGTAGCTATTGTTTATTGTTCTTTGTTTGTGGATGGGTTTTTTCTTTTCTAATTGATGCAAAAAGCAAAACAGCAAGTGCATAACGTCACTCTATTGCCTGCACTGGATTGGACAGAGCTCAGAGAATATGTGGATAGTTTTGAGGCAGCATAACATCCACTTTCATTTACAACAATCTTTTTTTCCTCTTTTATTTACGATTAAGAACTGCCATAAAAACATACAGATCACCATGGTAGTCTCCTTTGCAGCCACATCCCTTGTCAAAGTTTGTAGATGGTACATGATTAAAAGTTCAATTGTATCTTGGTGAACCAGGATTTTAGAAGGACAGTGTTGCAGTAAATTTGGAATGTCTGGCTCTAAAAACCACACATGTGTTGCTCCTTGGTCCTGGATTCCACCTCCCAAGGCCTTTCTGTGTGGAGTTTGCATGTTCTCTCTATGCCTGCCTAAATTTCCTCCAGGTGCACCGGTTTCCCCTAACACTAAAAACAGGTCTGGTCTCATGTGTACGGGTGACCCTGCTGCCATCACTGTGTGAAGTGAGAGGACAAATGCCAACAATTGTAAAGCCTTTTGTGACTCTGGTCTGTGAAAGGCGCTATATAAGTAGAAAGAAAGATTACTTATTTATTTACCTAGATCCCATACTACGCTTTTCTTCATGTTTCACTGTCCATCCTATGCACATGTGTGATAATGTGACGCCATCATCTCCCTCCTCCATCGCTCGCTGTCCCACCTGGAGAAACCCGGCTCCACTGTGAGGATCCTCTTCTTCGATTTCTCCAGTGCCTTCAACACCATCCAGCCGAGGCTTCTCAGGGACAAGATGAAGACAGCCGGTGTGGACTACAACCTGTCCCAGTGGATCCTGGACTACCTCACAGACAGACCCCAGTTTGTGAGAACCAGGGACTTTGTGTCTGAGGTCCTGACCTGCAGTGTGGGGGCCCCCCAGGGGACAGTCCTCGCGCCGTTCCTCTTCACCCTCTACACTGCGGACTTCAGACACAACACGGACGGTTGTGTTCTACAGAAGGTCTCTGACGACTCTGCCATCATCGGACTCAGCTCCGAGGACGATGACACAGAGTACAGAGGACTTATACAGGACTTTGTGGACTGGTGTCAGCGGAACCACCTCCTCATCAACGTGAGGAAGACCAAGGAGATGAACCACCTCCTCATCAACGCGGGGAAGACCAAGGGGATGAACCACCTCCTCATCAACGTGAGGAAGACCAAGGGGATGAACCACCTCCTCATCAACGTGAGGAAGACCAAGGGGATGAACCACCTCCTCATCAACGTGAGGAAGACCAAGGAGATGAACCACCTCCTCATCAACGTGAGGAAGACCAAGGAGATGAACCACCTCCTCATCAACGTGAGGAAGACCAAGGAGATGAACCACCTCCTCATCAACGTGAGGAAGACCAAGGAGATGAACCACCTCCTCATGAACGCGGGGAAGACCAAGGAGATGAACCACCTCCTCATCAACGCGAGGAAGACCAAGGAGATGAACCACCTCCTCATCAACGTGATGAAGACCAAGGAGATGAACCACCTCCTCATCAACGTGAGGAAGACCAAGGAGATGAACCACCTCCTCATCAACGTGAGGAAGACCAAGGAGATGAACCACCTCCTCATCAACGCGAGGAAGACCAAGGAGATGAACCACCTCCTCATCAACGCGGGGAAGACCAAGGAGATGAACCACCTCCTCATCAACGTGAGGAAGACCAAGGAGATGAACCACCTCCTCATCAACGTGAGGAAGACCAAGGAGATGAACCACCTCCTCATCAACGTGAGGAAGACCAAGGAGATGAACCACCTCCTCATCAACGTGAGGAAGACCAAGGAGATGAACCACCTCCTCATCAACGCGAGGAAGACCAAGGAGATGAACCACCTCCTCATCAACGCGAGGAAGACCAAGGAGATGAACCACCTCCTCATCAACGTGAGGAAGACCAAGGAGATGCACCACCTCCTCATCAACGTGAGGAAGACCAAGGAGATGAACCACCTCCTCATCAACGTGAGGAAGACCAAGGAGATGAACCACCTCCTCATCAACGTGAGGAAGACCAAGGAGATGAACCACCTCCTCATCAACGTGAGGAAGACCAAGGAGATGGTGGTGGATTTCCGCAGACGTCACTCTGCCGCTCCAGCTCCAGTGAACATCCAGGGAAAGGACATCGAGAGAGTGGACTCTTACAAGTACCTGGGTGTTCATCTGAACCACAAACTGGACTGGACTCATAACACAGACGCCCTCTTCAAGAAGGGCCAGAGTCGCCTCTACCTACTGAGGAGGCTTAGGTCTTTTGGAGTGCAGGGGCCACTCCTGAAGGACCTTCTATGACTCTGTGGTGGCATCAGCCTCTTGTACGGTGTGGTCTGCTGGAGCAGCAGCATCACGGAGAGGGACAGGAAGAAGCTGGAACATCAGGAAGTCCAGCTCAGTCCTGGGCTGTTCCCTGGACACAGTGCAGCAGGTGGGGGACAGGAGGGTCCTGAGCAAACTAACATCTATGCTGGACCATGACTGTCGCCCCCTGCAGGACACTCTCTCTGCTCTGGAGAGCAGCTTCAGTGACAGACTAATTCACCCTCGCTGTGTGAAGGAGAGGTTCCGTAGGTCTTTCCTTCCTGCTGCTGTCAGACTGTACAATAAAAACTGCTGAGCCTGTAAATTTCATCCATCTGTAATTAAGTAAATTCTTAAATCATGTGCAATGTGCAATACTGCAACTTCAGAATGTCACAGAACAATGTCACTTTACTTTATCTACTTATTATCCGGCACTATTTAACTGTACAGTACATAACTCTGCACTACTACATGTACATATTTTTTGACTGGTATTGAAGCATTTTCAGCATCTACAGCATCTACAGTACAGCCAGTTATGTTAGCTAAGAAACATAGCTACTACATATTCTGTATATATTGACTTCCTGACGGACAGGAAGCAGCGAGTGCGTCTGGGGAAGAATGTCTCGGACCCTCGGATTATAAATACAGGAGCCCCACAGGGCTGTGTTCTTTCTCCCCTGCTCTTCTCCCTGTACACCAACCACTGCACCTCCAGCCACGACTCCGTGAAGCTGATCAAGTTTGCGGACGACACCACCCTCATTGGACTCATCTCCAACAACGATGAGTCCGCCTACAGGAGGGAGGTGGACCGGCTGGTGTCCTGGTGTCTCCTACAGGAGGGAGGTGGACCGGCTGGTGTCCTGGTGTCTCCTACAGGAGGAGGTGGACCGGCTGGTGTCCTGGTGTCTCCTACAGGAGGGAGGTGGACCGGCTGGTGTCCTGGTGTCTCCTACAGGAGGGAGGTGGACCGGCTGGTGTCCTGGTGTCTCCTACAGGAGGGAGGTGGACCGGCTGGTGTCCTGGTGTCTCCTACAGGAGGGAGGTGGACCGGCTGGTGTCCTGGTGTCTCCTACAGGAGGGAGGTGGACCGGCTGGTGTCCTGGTGTCTCCTACAGGAGGGAGGTGGACCGGCTGGTGTCCTGGTGTCTCCTACAGGAGGGAGGTGGACCGGCTGGTGTCCTGGTGTCTCCTACAGGAGGGAGGTGGACCGGCTGGTGTCCTGGTGTCTCCTACAGGAGGGAGGTGGACCGGCTGGTGTCCTGGTGCAGTGGTAACAACCTGGAGCTGAACGCCCAGAAGACAGTGGAGATGTTTGTGGACTTCAGGAAGAGCACTGTCCCCCCGCCCCCACCCTCCGTGATGGACTCCCCCATCACATCACCTTGTTATGAGTAATGATTAAACTAACACCTAGCTTTCATAGATTTGGAATTCACTGAACACAACATGGAACAAGACAAAATTTATGATATTGATATAAATATAGAGCAACATGTATTTAACATAAAAAATACTTGTGAATACTACAATGAGGACGTGGTTAATCAGAAAATAACAGACAATACTTTGTCCATTATTCATGTAAACAGTCGCAGCATGTACAATAAACTTTCTAAAATCAAGGACTATTTAAGTGAGTTTAAAAATGAATTTAGTATTATTGCTGTAACCGAAACTTGGTTTAAAGAGGGAATTATGGCTGAGGTTCTGATGGAAGGGTATGAACTTTTTTCAATAAATAGGAAATTAAAGAGAGGGGGAGGAGTTGCATTGTTTGTAAAATCAAATTTGAAATGTAAGACTGTTAATGAAATGACTTTAATAGAAGATGAAATTGAAATGATTACATTAGAAATCATACCCAAGTCAGGAAAAAATGTAATAATTAGTTGCATTTATAGACCACCAGAGAGCAGTGAGTTTTTACTGACAAAATAATTGAAAAAATAGAAATAGCTAAAAACAAGAGACAAATTATATGTGGAGATTTTAATATCAATTTAGGAAACCCAAGTGAACAAATAGCAAGTGACTTCTTGAACTCAATGAATACCATGTGCCTCTTTCCTTTAATATCAAAACCTACAAGGATAACATCTCAAAGTGCCACAGTAATAGATCATATTTTTACCAATATGAATGAAGATCATATTATGAGTGGAATTTTGACAACAGATATTAGCGATCACCTACCAATATTTGCAATATTTAAACACAATCAGAACACAAAACCAACCAGTTTTGAAAAGACTGCAAGAAGAAACAGGTCGGAAAAAGCCCTAGAGGCACTAAACAGAGATCTTAGACATCAGAAGTGGGATGCGGTCTATGTAAATGATGTCAATATAGCATATAACGCCTTCATAGAAACAATAAGTACATTGTATGATAAAAATTGCAAAATCATATATTTAAAAAACAAAAGGGAAGATCAACCATGGATGACGAAAGGGTTAAAGAATGCTTGTAAAAAGAAAAACTTTCTATACAAATGTTTTATTAAAACTCCATCGAAAGAGACAGAAAACAGGTATAAGAAGTATAAAAACACAAATTGCAATAAAATAAAAAAAAAGCAAATTGCAAATCATTACCCGCAAACATTCAAGAGAACTTTGAAAAAAGACAAAGTCAGTACAATCTGAAAGGAACTGATATCTTTAAAAAACCTAGATTCAGAACAAAAGTCATGGAAAGAACAGTCTCAGTGAAAGGAATCAACTTGTGGAACGCACTTAACAAAGACATTAAAGAGTCGAAAAACATAATAGTTTTTAAGAAACAAATCAAAACTACTATATTCAGGACATATGAGAGTGTTACATGAGAATAAAATCTGGATTTAAATTGATGGTTTGTTTTTGAAGAAATGGAAAGTAAGGTGTGATACATAAAGTGTAAGGTAAAGTATTAAGGTAAAGTATTAAGGTATGTATTATGTAATATATGTGTAAATAATGTAATTTGTTTAAACTGTAAAAGGGATGTGTAAAAATCATTTGGAGCAGTTAAATCTTTTAGATGCAATGGACAACTCTTAACCATGAATAGCACATGACCAAGATCTATAGTGCAGGAAAACAAGTTGTCATGTTGTGATTGCCATTACTGCTTAAACAGATGCAAGTAAATCAGAGCAGACGAGATATGGTTGGATTGGCGGGCTCCCTCTTGCCAAGCGGCCTCAACACCTCGTTTTTAACGCACCACACAGCAAGAATATACAATGCAAATTTTCCTACATTTCCATTGGTCAGGGATGTTGGGAGTGGGGCGGGTTGAGTGGGGGCTATTACCTTCTCTCGACTGGCTCATTCTACCCACTGTTTTTAATGCACTGCACTATGTAGGGTCTACATACATAACCATGTTAACATTAAATAAACAGCTTTGGGTAAAAATGGCAACAAGTGACAAGTGACAACAAGACCTAAGAACATCATTGGTGCGAAATCAGCATTTAAAATTACTATTCATGGAGACGAGTGTAAATTGTATATCTGAGAGAAATATGCCTGTATATCATTTGAACTCCTGTAAAGAGAAAAGTTTGTAACAAGGGGTAGGAAGCATAAGTTTCACTTCTACCTACTCCTTTTCGAATTGTGCATATATATGTTTCTTCTTTTTGTTTTGTTTTGTATTGCGCATGTAATTCGAAATAAACACTACTACTACTACTACTACTACCTCTGTGGAGTCCTTCCGTTTCCTGGGCACCACCATCACCCAGGACCTCAAGTGGGAGCCGACCATCAGCTCCTCATCAAGAAGGCCCAGCAGAGGATGTACTTCCTCCATCACCTCCTCCATCACCTCCTCCATCACATCCTCCATCACCTCTGTGGAGTCCTTCCGTTTCCTGGGCACCACCATCACCCAGGACCTCAAGTGGGAGCCGACCATCAGCTCCCTCATCAAGAAGGCCCAGCAGAGGATGTACTTCCTGCGGCAGCTCAGGAAAGCCAAGCTGCCTGCACAGATGTTGACCTCCACCAGCACCTCCTCCATCACCTCCTCCATCACCTCCTCCATCACCTCCTCAAGCACCTCCTCCATCACCTCCTCCATCACCTCCTCCATCACCTCCTCATCACCTCCTCCATCACCTCCTCCATCACCTCCTCCATCACCTCCTCAAGCACCTCCTCCATCACCTCCTCCATCACCTCCTCCATCACCTCCTCCATCACCTCCTCCATCACCTCCTCCATCACCTCCTCATCACCTCCTCCATCACCTCCTCCATCACCTCCTCCATCACCTCCTCCATCACCTCCCCCATCACCTCCTCCATCACCTCCTCCATCACCTCCTCCATCACCTCCTCCATCACCTCCTCATCACCTCCTCCATCACCTCCTCCATCACCTCCTCCATCACCTCCTCAAGCACCTCCTCCATCACCTCCTCCATCACCTCCTCCATCACCTCCTCCATCACCTCCTCCATCACCTCCTCATCACCTCCTCCATCACCTCCTCCATCACCTCCTCCATCACCTCCTCATCACCTCCTCCGTCACCTCCTCCATCACCTCCTCCATCACCTCCTCATCACCTCCTCCATCACCTCCTCCATCACCTCCTCCATCACCTCCTCAAGCACCTCCTCCATCACCTCCTCCATCACCTCCTCCATCACCTCCTCCATCACCTCCTCCATCACCTCCTCATCACCTCCTCCATCACCTCCTCCATCACCTCCTCCATCACCTCCTCATCACCTCCTCCGTCACCTCCTCCATCACCTCCTCCATCACCTCCTCCATCACCTCCTCCGTCACCGTGTGGTTCGCTGGAGCCACAGTCAGGGACAAACAGAGACTACAGTGCATTGTGCGCTCTGCAGAGGAAGTGATCGGCCGCAGCCTTCCATCGCTGCAGGACCTGTACGTCGCCCGAGCTCGAGGCCGGGCTGGTCGTATCACAGCCGACCCCTCTCACCTGCACATGGACTATTCCAACCACTCCCCTCTCACCTACACATGGACTATTCCAACCACTCCCCTCTCACCTGCACATGGACTATTCCAACCACTCCCCTCTCACCTGCACATGGACTATTCCAACCACTCCCCTCTCACCTGCACATGGACTATTCCAACCACTCCCCTCTGACCCTGCACATGGACTATTCCAACCACTCCCCTCAGGCAGGAGGCTGCGGTCCATCAGGACTAGAACCTCCCGCCACAAGAACAGTTTCTTCCCCTCTGCTGTTGGACTCTTGAACACTTCTTAACCTGTCCCCCCGCCCTTTATAAAGTCACTTTACTGCCCATCATACGTCACTTTACTTCACTGTACTGCTGTCACCTTACATTGTGTGCACCATGTGCACTTGTATATTGTAAATAGTAACTGTAACTCTATTTTAAATTTACATTTATTCCTTAGAAGTGTTTTTTATTGTTTATTTTTTATTATCTCTCTCTGACTGTTGCACTGAGCCAAAGCAATTTCCAAGTCTGTGACCTCCTGTTACTCACGTGGCAATAAAAAATATTCTAATTCTGATATTGTGTGTGCTCCCTGTGTGCTCTTACTACTGTCCTGTATGTGCGCTGCAACAACAAAATTTCCCCACTGTGGGACGAATAAAGGAACTCTTATCTTATCTTATAATAATTAGAGTGATACATCATACAACACTCAAAACTTGTGGTATTACAGCCATCCCTCGTCTAGAGGTGACGTCACCTCGACTCAAACAAGCTGATTCAGAGTCTGCTCCTCTGTCTGTGAGCCCAGTTGTTTATAACCGGTACATAGTCATTTCAGACATGAGCGTCTGGGGCCTCTTCTGTGGGAGCTGTCTGTTGTGGCTGCAAATACTTTCTCATTACATCTGGAAAAAAAAGATTGGTTTCAGCCAAAACACATGCTGCTGACCAGAAACCACAAAAAAATAACTTTTTTGCTTTTTTGCAGTGAATGCTTAGCTTTAGGCTACCTTAGCGTTAGTGCACTGATGCAAGGTGGTCTGGATGTCCAAATGAAAAGTCATAGTTATCATGTTAATTAACACATACCTCTACTTTGAGCCCGTTTTTCATCCTCTGCTTTTCTTTGGCGTTTTTTGATGCACCTGACGGCTTGGACTGCCTTTTCATGGTAACGTTGAACACAAACACGTCCACTTATCTTTCAATTAACACTCTCTCTGGGATGCGCTGCCCCTCCACCACCTACTCACCTTGGCTTGAAAGCAGCATGGTTCAATAATGACAATTTTTATTGAGTTTATAGTATACATTAATAGTATCTTACGTGATTGGAAGCACTTAGCAGAATAAATAAAAAAGGAAACTTTTTTATAAATGTATATATTTTTTTTAAGACTGCAATTTTGCGCCCCATCCAGCAGATGGCGCCCCAGGCGGTCGCCTATGCCCTGGGCCAGTCCTGCCAACCAGCATATCTTTGTGAGAGGAAACAAATAAAACAAGTCACAAAATGCTTTCATGGAATGAATGCATTTGTAGAAGGCAAGTTTAGGCAACGTGTATAGCTTCCAACTGAAACAGAACTCTATACAACCTGAGCGCAACCTATAGGACCTGACTTTAGCTGTACCTTTGGGTAACATTTTTAAAGAACTTCTCACCCCTGCTCCTCAAGGCTTACGTCACTCATATTTCCTGTTCAAATCTTCCTCCAAATGGGCCAGATTTTTAAAAAAAATATAATAATAATAATATATATATAATAATAATTGTGTCCTTGGGCAAGACACTTAACCCCACTTTGCCCAAAGCCCCCACTGAAAGATCAAGGCTATGCTCACACTCAGAGAGCAGCCTCCTGTGGACTCACCACCTGCAGAGGGTCAGTGAGGGGCTGGTGCTATGAGACTTGGGTGGCATCTCTGACTGCCACCCCCCTGACCCAGAAATGGGTTAAAGGGTAGAACATGGATGGATGGATGGATGGATGGATGGATAATAATAATAATAAAAAAAATAATAATAATAAAAAAATATTTCAACGAAAAATACACGGGCCAATCTCACACTGGCCCCTCACACAGACGCCTCATATTGGTTCCTCACACAGCATTAGCCACTGGCTCCTCTCTCTCACTGGCTCCTCTCTCTGCACTGGCTCCTCTCTCTGCACTGGCTCCTCTCTGCACTGGCTCCTCTCTCTCACTGGCTCCTCTCTCTGCACTGGCTCCTCTCTCTCACTGGCTCCTCTCTCTCACTGGCTCCTCTCTCTCACTGGCTCCTCTCTCTCACTGGCTCCTCTCTCTGCACTGGCTCCTCTCTCTGCACTGGCTCCTCTCTCTCACTGGCTCCTCTCTCTGCACTGGCTCCTCTCTCTGCACTGGCTCCTCTCTCTCACTGGCTCCTCTCTCTCACTGGCTCCTCTCTCTCACTGGCTCCTCTCTCTCACTGGCTCCTCTCTCTGCACTGGCTCCTCTCTGCACTGGCTCCTCTCTCTCACTGGCTCCTCTCTCTCACTGGCTCCTCTCTGCACTGGCTCCTCTCTCTGCACTGGCTCCTCTCTCTCACTGGCTCCTCTCTCTGCACTGGCTCCTCTCTCTCACTGGCTCCTCTCTCTCACTGGCTCCTCTCTGCACTGGCTCCTCTCTCTCACTGGCTCCTCTCTGCACTGGCTCCTCTCTGCACTGGCTCCTCTCTCTCACTGGCTCCTCTCTCTCACTGGCTCCTCTCTCTGCACTGGCTCCTCTCTCTGCACTGGCTCCTCTCTCTGCACTGGCTCCTCTCTCTCACTGGCTCCTCTCTCTCACTGGCTCCTCTCTGCACTGGCTCCTCTCTGCACTGGCTCCTCTCTCTCACTGGCTCCTCTCTGCACTGGCTCCTCTCTCTCACTGGCTCCTCTCTCTCACTGGCTCCTCTCTCTGCACTGGCTCCTCTCTGCACTGGCTCCTCTCTCTCACTGGCTCCTCTCTCTCACTGGCTCCTCTCTGCACTGGCTCCTCTCTCTGCACTGGCTCCTCTCTCTGCACTGGCTCCTCTCTCTGCACTGGCTCCTCTCTCTCACTGGCTCCTCTCTCTCACTGGCTCCTCTCTGCACTGGCTCCTCTCTCTCACTGGCTCCTCTCTCTCACTGGCTCCTCTCTCTCACTGGCTCCTCTCTCTGCACTGGCTCCTCTCTCTGCACTGGCTCCTCTCTCTCACTGGCTCCTCTCTCTCACTGGGTCCTCTCTGCACTGGCTCCTCTCTCTCACTGGCTCCTCTCTCTGCACTGGCTCCTCTCTCTGCACTGGCTCCTCTCTCTGCACTGGCTCCTCTCTCTCACTGGCTCCTCTCTCTGCACTGGCTCCTCTCTCTCACTGGCTCCTCTCTCTCACTGGCTCCTCTCTCTGCACTGGCTCCTCTCTCTCACTGGCTCCTCTCTCTCACTGGCTCCTCTCTCTGCACTGGCTCCTCTCTGCACTGGCTCCTCTCTCTCACTGGCTCCTCTCTCTCACTGGCTCCTCTCTGCACTGGCTCCTCTCTCTCACTGGCTCCTCTCTCTGCACTGGCTCCTCTCTCTCACTGGCTCCTCTCTCTGCACTGGCTCCTCTCTCTGCACTGGCTCCTCTCTCTCACTGGCTCCTCTCTCTCACTGGCTCCTCTCTCTCACTGGCTCCTCTCTCTCACTGGCTCCTCTCTCTCACTGGCTCCTCTCTCTGCACTGGCTCCTCTCTCTGCACTGGCTCCTCTCTCTGCACTGGCTCCTCTCTCTGCACTGGCTCCTCTCTCTGCACTGGCTCCTCTCTCTCACTGGCTCCTCTCTCTCACTGGCTCCTCTCTCTGCACTGGCTCCTCTCTCTCACTGGCTCCTCTCTCTCACTGGCTCCTCTCTCTGCACTGGCTCCTCTCTGCACTGGCTCCTCTCTGCACTGGCTCCTCTCTCTCACTGGCTCCTCTCTGCACTGGCTCCTCTCTCTGCACTGGCTCCTCTCTCTCACTGGCTCCTCTCTCTGCACTGGCTCCTCTCTGCACTGGCTCCTCTCTCTCACTGGCTCCTCTCTCTCACTGGCTCCTCTCTCTCACTGGCTCCTCTCTGCACTGGCTCCTCTCTCTGCACTGGCTCCTCTCTCTGCACTGGCTCCTCTCTCTGCACTGGCTCCTCTCTCTCACTGGCTCCTCTCTCTCACTGGCTCCTCTCTCTGCACTGGCTCCTCTCTCTCACTGGCTCCTCTCTCTCACTGGGTCCTCTCTGCACTGGCTCCTCTCTGCACTGGCTCCTCTCTGCACTGGCTCCTCTCTCTCACTGGCTCCTCTCTCTCACTGGCTCCTCTCTGCACTGGCTCCTCTCTCTCACTGGCTCCTCTCTCTCACTGGCTCCTCTCTCTCACTGGCTCCTCTCTCTCACTGGCTCCTCTCTCTCACTGGCTCCTCTCTCTGCACTGGCTCCTCTCTCTGCACTGGCTCCTCTCTCTGCACTGGCTCCTCTCTCTGCACTGGCTCCTCTCTCTGCACTGGCTCCTCTCTCTCACTGGCTCCTCTCTCTCACTGGCTCCTCTCTCTGCACTGGCTCCTCTCTCTCACTGGCTCCTCTCTCTCACTGGCTCCTCTCTCTGCACTGGCTCCTCTCTGCACTGGCTCCTCTCTCTCACTGGCTCCTCTCTCTCACTGGCTCCTCTCTGCACTGGCTCCTCTCTCTCACTGGCTCCTCTCTCTGCACTGGCTCCTCTCTCTCACTGGCTCCTCTCTCTCACTGGCTCCTCTCTCTGCACTGGCTCCTCTCTCTGCACTGGCTCCTCTCTCTCACTGGCTCCTCTCTCTCACTGGCTCCTCTCTGCACTGGCTCCTCTCTCGCACTGGCTCCTCTCTCTCACTGGCTCCTCTCTGCACTGGCTCCTCTCTGCACTGGCTCCTCTCTCTGCACTGGCTCCTCTCTCTGCACTGGCTCCTCTCTGCACTGGCTCCTCTCTCTCACTGGCTCCTCTCTGCACTGGCTCCTCTCTCTGCACTGGCTCCTCTCTCTGCACTGGCTCCTCTCTCTGCACTGGCTCCTCTCTCTGCACTGGCTCCTCTCTCGGCACTGGCTCCTCTCGCTCACTGGCTCCTCTCTGCACTGGCTCCTCTCTCTGCACTGGCTCCTCTCTCTCACTGGCTCCTCTCTCTCACTGGCTCCTCTCTCTGCACTGGCTCCTCTCTCTCACTGGCTCCTCTCTCTGCACTGGCTCCTCTCTGCACTGGCTCCTCTCTCTGCACTGGCTCCTCTCTCTCACTGGCTCCTCTCTCTGCACTGGCTCCTCTCTCTCACTGGCTCCTCTCTCTCACTGGCTCCTCTCTGCACTGGCTCCTCTCTGCACTGGCTCCTCTCTCTCACTGGCTCCTCTCTGCACTGGCTCCTCTCTGCACTGGCTCCTCTCTCTCACTGGCTCCTCTCTGCACTGGCTCCTCTCTCTGCACTGGCTCCTCTCTCTCACTGGCTCCTCTCTCTCACTGGCTCCTCTCTGCACTGGCTCCTCTCTGCACTGGCTCCTCTCTCTCACTGGCTCCTCTCTGCACTGGCTCCTCTCTCTCACTGGCTCCTCTCTCTCACTGGCTCCTCTCTCTGCACTGGCTCCTCTCTGCACTGGCTCCTCTCTCTCACTGGCTCCTCTCTCTCACTGGCTCCTCTCTGCACTGGCTCCTCTCTCTGCACTGGCTCCTCTCTCTGCACTGGCTCCTCTCTCTGCACTGGCTCCTCTCTCTCACTGGCTCCTCTCTCTCACTGGCTCCTCTCTCTGCACTGGCTCCTCTCTCTCACTGGCTCCTCTCTCTCACTGGCTCCTCTCTGCACTGGCTCCTCTCTCTCACTGGCTCCTCTCTGCACTGGCTCCTCTCTCTGCACTGGCTCCTCTCTCTCACTGGCTCCTCTCTCTGCACTGGCTCCTCTCTCTCACTGGCTCCTCTCTCTCACTGGCTCCTCTCTGCACTGGCTCCTCTCTCTCACTGGCTCCTCTCTCTCACTGGCTCCTCTCTGCACTGGCTCCTCTCTCTCACTGGCTCCTCTCTGCACTGGCTCCTCTCTCTGCACTGGCTCCTCTCTCTCACTGGCTCCTCTCTCTCACTGGCTCCTCTCTCTCACTGGCTCCTCTCTCTGCACTGGCTCCTCTCTCTGCACTGGCTCCTCTCTCTCACTGGCTCCTCTCTCTCACTGGCTCCTCTCTCTCACTGGCTCCTCTCTCTCACTGGCTCCTCTCTGCACTGGCTCCTCTCTCTCACTGGCTCCTCTCTCTGCACTGGCTCCTCTCTGCACTGGCTCCTCTCTGCACTGGCTCCTCTCTCTCACTGGCTCCTCTCTCTGCACTGGCTCCTCTCTCTCACTGGCTCCTCTCTCTCACTGGCTCCTCTCTCTGCACTGGCTCCTCTCTGCACTGGCTCCTCTCTGCACTGGCTCCTCTCTCTCACTGGCTCCTCTCTCTCACTGGCTCCTCTCTCTCACTGGCTCCTCTCTCTCACTGGCTCCTCTCTCTGCACTGGCTCCTCTCTGCACTGGCTCCTCTCTCTGCACTGGCTCCTCTCTGCACTGGCTCCTCTCTGCACTGGCTCCTCTCTCTGCACTGGCTCCTCTCTCTGCACTGGCTCCTCTCTGCACTGGCTCCTCTCTGCACTGGCTCCTCTCTGCACTGGCTCCTCTCTCTGCACTGGCTCCTCTCTCTGCACTGGCTCCTCTCTCTGCACTGGCTCCTCTCTCTGCACTGGCTCCTCTCTCTCACTGGCTCCTCTCTCTGCACTGGCTCCTCTCTCTGCACTGGCTCCTCTCTGCACTGGCTCCTCTCTCTCACTGGCTCCTCTCTCTCACTGGCTCCTCTCTGCACTGGCTCCTCTCTCTGCACTGGCTCCTCTCTCTCACTGGCTCCTCTCTGCACTGGCTCCTCTCTGCACTGGCTCCTCTCTCTGCACTGGCTCCTCTCTCTTACTGGCTCCTCTCTCTCACTGGCTCCTCTCTGCACTGGCTCCTCTCTCTCACTGGCTCCTCTCTCTCACTGGCTCCTCTCTCTCACTGGCTCCTCTCTCTGCACTGGCTCCTCTCGGCACTGGCTCCTCTCTGCACTGGCTCCTCTCTCTCACTGGCTCCTCTCTGCACTGGCTCCTCTCTGCACTGGCTCCTCTCTCTGCACTGGCTCCTCTCTCTCACTGGCTCCTCTCTCTCACTGGCTCCTCTCTCACTGGCTCCTCTCTCTCACTGGCTCCTCTCTCTCACTGGCTCCTCTCTCTCACTGCTCTCTCTGCACTGGCTCCTCTCTGCACTGGCTCCTCTCTCTGCACTGGCTCCTCTCTCTGCACTGGCTCCTCTCTCTGCACTGGCTCCTCTCTCTGCACTGGCTCCTCTCTCTCACTGGCTCCTCTCTCTCACTGGCTCCTCTCTCTCACTGGCTCCTCTCTCTCACTGGCTCCTCTCTCTCACTGGCTCCTCTCTCTCACTGGCTCCTCTCTCTGCACTGGCTCCTCTCTCTGCACTGGCTCCTCTCTCTCACTGCACTGGCTCCTCTCTCTCACTGGCTCCTCTCTCTCACTGGTCCTCTCTCTCACTGGCTCCTCTCTCTCACTGGCTCCTCTCTCTCACTGGCTCCTCTCTCTCCACTGGCTCCTCTCTCACTGGCTCCTCTCTCACTGGCTCCTCTCTCTCTGCACTGGCTCCTCTCTCTCACTGCTCTCACTGGCTCCTCTCTCTCACTGGCTCCTCTCTCTGCACTGGCTCCTCTCTGCACTGGCTCCTCTCTCTGCACTGGCTCCTCTCTCTCACTGGCTCCTCTCTCTGCACTGGCTCCTCTCTCTGCACTGGGCTCCTCTCTCTCACTGGCTCCTCTCTCTCACTGGCTCCTCTCTCTGCACTGGCTCCTCTCTCTGCACTGGCTCCTCTCTCTGCACTGGCTCCTCTCTCTGCACTGGCTCCTCTCTCTCACTGGCTCCTCTCTCTGCACTGGCTCCTCTCTCTGCACTGGCTCCTCTCTCTGCACTGGCTCCTCTCTCTCACTGGCTCCTCTCTCTCACTGGCTCCTCTCTCTCACTGGCTCCTCTCTCTCACTGGCTCCTCTCTCTCACTGGCACTGGCCTCTCTCTCACTGGCTCCTCTCTCTCACTGGCTCTCTCTCTGCACTGGCTCCTCTCTCTGCACTGGCTCCTCTCTCTGCACTGGCTCCTCTCTCTGCACTGGCTCCTCTCTCTGCACTGGCTCCTCTCTCTTGCACTGGCTCCTCTCTCTCACTGGCTCCTCTCTCTGCACTGGCTCCTCTCTGCACTGGCTCCTCTCTCTCACTGGCTCCTCTCTCTGCACTGGCTCCTCTCTCTCACTGGCTCCTCTCTCTCACTGGCTCCTCTCTCTGCACTGGCTCCTCTCTCTGCACTGGCTCCTCTCTCTGCACTGGCTCCTCTCTCTCTCTGCACTGGCTCCTCTCTCTGCACTGGCTCCTCTCTCTGGCTCTGGCTCCTCTCTCTGCACTGGCTCCTCTCTCTCACTGGCTCCTCTCTCTGCACTGGCCTCTCTCTGCACTGGCTCCTCTCTCTGCACTGGCTCCTCTCTCTGCACTGGCTCCTCTCTCTGCACTGGCTCCTCTCTCTGCACTGGCTCCTCTCTGCTCACTGGCTCCTCTCTCTGCACTGGCTCCTCTCTCTCACTGGCTCCTCTCTCTCACTGGCTCCTCTCTCTCACTGGCTCCTCTCTCTGCACTGGCTCCTCTCTCTGCACTGGCTCCTCTCTCTGCACTGGCTCCTCTCTGCACTGGCTCCTCTCTCTCACTGGCTCCTCTCTCTGCACTGCTCCTCTTCACTGGCTCTCTCTGCACTGGCTCCTCTCTCTGCACTGGCTCCTCTCTCTGCACTGGCTCCTCTCTCTGCACTGGCTCCTCTCTCTGCACTGGCTCCTCTCTCTCACTGGCTCCTCTCTCTGCACTGGCTCCTCTCTCTCACTGGCTCCTCTCTCTCTGGCACTGGCTCCTCTCTCTGCACTGGCTCTCTCTCTCTCACTGGCTCCTCTCTCTCACTGGCTCCTCTCTGCACTGGCTCCTCTCTCTGCACTGGCTCCTCTCTCTGCACTGGCTCCTCCTCTCTCTCTCACTGGCTCCTCTCTCTGCACTGGCTGGGCTCCTCTCTCTCTGCACTGGCTCCTCTCTCTGCACTGGCTCCTCTCTCTCTGCACTGGCTCCTCTCTCTGCACTGGGCTCCTCTCTCTGGCACTGGCTCCTCTCTCTGCACTGGCTCCTCTCTCTCACTGGCTCCTCTCTCTCACTGGCTCCTCTCTCTGCACTGGCTCCTCTCTCTGCACTGGCTCCTCTCTCACTCTCCTCTCTCTCACTGGCTCCTCTCTCTGCACTGGCTCCTCTCTGCACTGGCTCCTCTCTCTCACTGGCTCCTCTCTCTGCATCTGGCTCCTCTCTCTCACTGGGCTCCTCTCTCTGCACTGGCTCCTCTCTCTGCACTGGCTCCTCTCTCTGCACTGGCTCCTCTCTCTCACTGGCCTCTCTCTCATTTCCTGATTGAGTGCTGTCGGTCCTCAGCAGCTGCTGATGCGGGTGTCGGTATCGATTCTGTTATTCATTGTATATGTCACGTTTACTAATGACTAAAACGAGACTTCGATTGGCTCTTGGTTGTTTACTTCTCCCTTTGCTCCTCGGCCTGTGCAGAAAGGCCACAAACGAATCAAAAACAGTTTTTCATCTGGTGGTCGGGCCCCTGGACTTATACTAGGTCTGTTAAACTACAGTGGTCCTATTACTAAAAATGGTTGGGACACACAGTGTTAAAAGGGAAGGTCATGTTTTTCTTTTACATCCACATTATTGAATGATGTGTTGTTTTCAAAACAGTGTGTATAAACAAATTAATTAACAAATCACATTTCAAATCTGTTATTCTTAGGTAAAACTACAATGGGCCATATCCAGCAAACTATTGAATAAAAGTTTTTTGTTTAGATACTAGGTCTGCGAGAGCAGCCTGAGCGGGTGTCTTTTGACGATAATTAATAGTTTTTAAAAAAATACCGTATTTTGTCTTGGTGGTCGAGCCTATTATTTAAGACTGAAGTTTTGAGTATCATAGGGACACTGGTTCATTGTCAAAATATCATGAATGGTGAATGAGTGGAAGCTAACGGTTTTAAGCTAACAAATCCAGGGTTAAAACGGTTTAGCTGTGCAGACAAAATGAAGTATTTTTGTATCTATTTTTAAGGCACTATGATTTTCCTGATTTTGTCTAAAGATTTTATGATATATGCTATACTGGGATATTGGTTGTGGGCGTTTGTGTGGCCTTGTGTAGGAAAGAAAGACGCTCATTCAAATCTAAAAAACATAAAAATAAATCTAATAAAATAGATAGAGCATTATTATTTTTAAAGAATCATTAGAGTAAGATCACAATGAATATGACAAATGTCCCCTCCGGCCAGACGTGATTATGGGTCTATTGGGAGTTCAAAAACCGCTAATCATGCTGGAACTAACTGTACCCTGGAGGAACAAAGGGAAGTATGAGAGAGGCTTCGTGTGTTAAGTACCAGGAGGTGGTTTGTGGGGAGTGCAAGGGGCAGAGGCTGGAGGTGGTTCAGGTATGAGGGTGGAGAGGATAGCATCGGCTGGAGAGGGTTTTAGAGGCTGGAGGAGGATAGAATCTGTGAGAGGGTTAAGAGGCTGGAGAAGGTTCGAGGTTGGAGGAAAGTGCTTAAGCTTTATAGAATCCGATGCAGAGGTTTTGGTTCTTCCCAGACTGGAAGGCAGAGACAAGAAGAGGCCCGCAATCTGGGAAGCGAAGCCAAGTAACTGGCTATGAACAGATACATTTATTTGCCATATGCAGTAAAACCACATCCAGTGAGCCCCCAGACAGTGACCTTCTTGCGAAAGTATTCGGGCCCTTGAAACTTTCGCTTTTTGCCACTGTTCAGGCTTCAAACTAAATGGATTTAAAACATATTTTTTCTGTCCAAGATCAACAACAAGTGGGACACAACGTGGAAGTGGAACGAAATTTATTTGGATAATTTAAACTTGTTTTTTAAAAATAATAACTAAAAAGTGGGGAGGTGCAAAATTAGTTGGCACCCCCTTGCGCTACGCTTCTGTTTGTTGGGTGTTGAGGCAGCCTGTGGTTTAGACGTGAAGTGTTTGCAAGAAAAATTATTTATTGAAAACCAATTAATTAATTGTCACATGTTTTTTCATAGATTCCTTACATTGTATTGCATGGACACAGAGAGCTCATACCCTCTCTCAGCTATACATACTTACACACCTCTCCTGTCTCGTATTACATACATACACACCTCTCTAGACTGCAGTATAGACCCTCTCTCGGTCTCAGAATACATACAGACCTTCAGTCTCAGTATTTTCAGTGCCCTTGCTAAAGTATTTGGCCCCCCTTGAACCTTTTCAAACATTTCGGCCATATTTCAGGCTTCAAACAAAGATATAAAAAAGTAAATGTTTTGTCAAGAATCAACAACAAGTGGGACCACAATCGGAAGTCGGAACGATAATGTATTGGATAATTTAAACTTTTTTAACAAATAAAAAAATGAAAGTGGGAGCGTGAAATATTATTCGGCCACCCTTGCGCTAATATTTGTTGCGCCACCTTTTGCTGCAATTACAGCTGCAAGTCGCTTGGGGTATGTCTATCAGTTTTGCCACATCGATGAGACTGGAATTCTTGCCCATTTCTTCCTTGCAAAACAGCTCGTGCTCAGTGGGTTGGATGGAGAGGTTTGTGAACGCAAAGTCTTCAGCTCTTTCCACAGATTCTCGATTGGATTCAGGTCTGGACTTTGACTTGGCAATTTTCTAACACCTGGATAAGTCTATTTGGTGAAACCATTCCATTGTAGATTTGGCTTTATGTTTTGGGATCATTGACACTGTTGGTAGATAAATCTCCGTCCCATAGTCTCAGGTCTTTTGCTGGAATCCAACAGGTTTTCTTCCAGAATGGTCCTGTATTTGGCTCCAATGTTTTTGTATCCAAATCCGGCCTTTAAACTTCTCCACAACCTGTATCTCGGACCAGCTCTGGCGGTGTTCCTTTGTCTTCATGGTTCTCTCTGCGCTTTTTAAAGAACCTGGACTATCAAAAGCAAGGTGCATTTTTACGGAGGACTTGATTTCTCACAGGTGCATTCTATTTATCATCATCAGTCATTTAGGCACATTGGATCATTCAAAGGATCCTCACTGAACTCTGGGACTGAGTTTGCTGCACTGAAAGTAAAGGGGTCCGAATAATATTGCACGCCCCACTTTTTCAGTTTATGTTTAAAAAGTTTGAATTTATCAAATAAAATTTGTTCCCTTCACGTTTGTGTCCCCATTGTTGTGGATTCATGACAGAAATTAAAATTTTTATACTTTATGTTTGAAGCTTGAAATGTGGCGAAATGTTGATGAAAGGTTCAAGGGGGCTGAATACTTTCGCAAGGCAATGTATATTACAGCTTGTGGAATTAAGCTGGTATCACATCCGACGTCCTAGTGAGCAGCTGGATACACTGGCTTTTCAAGGGACAAGGAGAGTCCTTACATTACTCCTAAAGAGCTGGTTTAGGAGTCTGGATTTCAAAAAGAACATTCTACATCCTCTCTCAGAGCGGGCATCTCTCTCTCTGGATCTCCCTTAGTTTCTTCTGTGGTTTCTCTCTCTAATTTCATCTGCTCTCTCTCTCTCTGGTCTCTCCGTTCTTTGTCTGTGATGTGTAGAACCACACAGTCACAGAACCATCAAGCAAACTTTCAAATGGTGCAGCGATTATTTAATAAAACTTTGCCTTGTGCATAAACTGGTGTATATATAATAAACTTGCCTCTCGTTAAAGGGAGAGCTCTAAACAAGGTGGTCCGGCTTAGCTAAAATGACAGTAAGCTGCTGGTTAGGAGGCTGTCTTATGAATCTAGCCCATATAAGTGTGAAAAGTCAAGGCTCGTCCCCATGCCTTCCATATATACTTCAATATTTGGTCCAGTTTTGGGTCGGTCCACTGGAAAACATAAGCAATCATAATTCAGAAAGAATGTTCAATCCAACTAATGTGAAACTAGTCATTAATTAAAGATACCTTCATTAGTATTAAAAAGAATGATAAATGAAACCCACTTATTTCTTTCGGCCCCTGACCAGCCCTTTCATTTTTTTATCCGGCCCTCAACCAAAAATAAGTACGAACCCCTGATCTCTACCTCTGAATCGGAAGACATGGTCTTTGAATCTTCGGTGGCTCTTGCTAACCCTTGACCCCCAACCGGGAACCCGGGGAAAAAGCCCTGTTCCAGCTTCTTCCCCCCAGGAGAAAGTTATTGTTTCCTTTGAGATCCGCGCCATGCTAAACCTATTCCTTCCCACGAGTTGTTATTAGACCTGAACTATGCACATGGTTGTTCTAGCACTTCTTTACTTCTAGTATAGGCTCGTTTTTTAAGCATCGCGACAATTGCTTTACCATGTAGCCGTTAACTTGGTTTTGCGACTTTGTGTTTTTTTTTTTTTTTTTTGCACTGCTGAGGCGTTTCTTCACAGAGGAACTATTAGTTTGTCAATGGGTTCAATCTTTTTTTTTTTTTTGCCCAGACAGATACACAAACAGCAGATATCTGGAGGACATGTCGATTCGTGCAACAAACAGATCAGAGAATCAAAACGGTTCATACAGAAGACAATGTGATGACAGAAAAAACACATAGAGCCATTGTTCCATAAGGGGCAGAGACCAATGTCCAGATTGGTTTTTTTTTTTTTGTTCCTTTATTGAACACCATGTGACCACAAATTCCAAAGCAAAGTATTTTTTAACATCCAGGCAATGAGCTAGAAACTATGAATAATAAAAAGTAAATAATGTACGAAAAAAAACATAAAACAAGTAATGTGTCAGGTGTTATGTTATTTGTTATGTTTGGTGTGTAATAAATGTACCGCAGAAATGGTAACAGACAGTCTGTAAGTTGTAGTTGAATGTCGAGTTTTTATGTTCTCGCTGTTGTCTATAGGTTTCCTCCAGGTGCTCCGGAATTCCAACTCACCACCACTAAAAACATGTCTAAAGTCCCCCCATAATACCTTCCCATACTCCACTCTCACACCATCTCTTGGAGACAAGCCACCCCTAAAAATGAGACCAATCTCAGTGTCCTGGGTTTAATAACATTACATTGTGTAAATAATAGCTATTCTGTGGTTTTTAAGCAGAAATCTAAAGAAAACTTGGGAATCTCAATATTTTTACATGTTTACATGTTTCCAGAGTCTTTGTAGGGTTCCTCCAGGCTGTTCGTTTCCCCCATCCACTTTTAAACATGTGCAGTGTTCAGGGTTGAGTTGATGTTGTGTTTATGGTGCGAGTGTGGGTCTACAGATGGAATTAGTGACAAAGAGAGAGAGGGCGAGAATGAGAGAGGGGAGAGAGGCAGGGAGGAGAGAGAGAGAAGGAGAGAGAGAGGGAGATGAGAGTGACAGAGAAAGACAGAGAGAGAGATGGGAGGGA